GGAGTGCTGCTGACCTTGTGGATTCACTGCAGCTAGTTATAAATGATGTATGAAATGAAAAATTCCTGCCCACCTGATGGGCTTAACAAACACTTCTGTCATATTGTGTTGTGCCCTCTGCTCTAACATATAACTCAAACCAGATGTGGAAAGGAATACCCACGAAACCTAGAAGTCTTGCCAAAGCAGTGGACTAGATGACTTCCTAGAGGTCATTTCCATCGCTAAATTCTATGGGCTTAATCCTGAGCTGTTTCTTTGATATGAATTTAGTTCTAAACAGTGCAAACTCCCAGTGGAGTGAAAGAGAGTCTGTCTGCAGTAAACACTAGGTAAAAACTGAAGACCAAGTTCTGCTTATCTATTTTTACCATTAAAATTGTGCTTAGTGGCCTCAGCTGAGGTCAGGGCTCCATTGTTCTGGCACTGTGCAAAGTTTATGGTCTAATTCAGGAGTCCTTAATCCATTCTGATGGTGAGACCCTATGAAGTTGCTTACAGCCACAGAAAATTTAAAAGTTAAAACTGAGGTTGACAGGGAAAGCTAAGCGTGGTGTTGCCTGCAGTATGTAACACTTAGTATTGTTGCTCATGGACCAGGGGAGTTCGGAGACTTCTGGTCTAATTTAACAAGACAGCCCTGTGGCAGGAAGGGAACTAGAGGCTGTAAAACAGGGGTTCCCAACCTTTTTAGGCTCAAGGCAACCCTCCTTAGGCTCAAGGCACCCCTTGGGAAATGCCAGCTCTCAGTTTTTACTCATTTTTTTGACTACGGAAAAATAATAGAGCATTTTTTCTGTTACAAAGAACTCAGAAAGACCACAACACATCAGAGTGTTTTTAACACAATGGGTTCTTATTTGAAATCATTGGGTGTGTCCAGATGAGTGTGCACATGCAGTATGTGGCACTGCAGACCCGTCTGCAGTGCTGCAAACTGTATGCACCACACATGCTAATTTGCCGCACAGCGGATTTTTTGATACCAGGAGATCCTGGTGTCAAAAAAATCCATGCCTGAAAAAAGTGGGGTGGCACACACGGTGGCAACATGCACTGCCCAAAACTGGAGCCTGGCTGGCCGGAGTCACACTCTGGTTGCCAGCCAGGCTCCGTGTGCCAGATCACTGCCGCTGGAGTGTTGGGAGGTGCCCAGGTCCCCAGATAAGGCTGCTGGGGCCTGCCCAAGTGCTGGCCCCAACCTCCCGTACCCCACCTGGGGCAACCTGCTGCACACCAGAGCGTGCATGCATGGGTGTTCCCTGGGGACAAGTAGCAGTGGCATGACTATGGGTCTCTGCTTTTAGTCCCCAGGGAAATACATGTGTGCACATGTCTGGCACACCTATTAGGTTTACCTTAGGAGTCATGTTTGCACACCTAACAGTGCTAATGCTGAATGGCATCCTGTGGCACCCTGAAAGGATTTCAAGGCACCCAGGGTGCCATGGCATCCTGATTGAGAATCACTGCTCTAAGAAATGGTGACTTCCCCAAGGTCACTTAGCAGGTCAGTAGCAGAGTTGGGAGTAAAAGCTAGACAAGTAGTCTGTGTGAATACTACCTATGTGAATAGTTCTATTTATGTCAAGGGGGTTACTTTTGTCAATAAGAAGGCATAATCTATCCATGATTAAGGGCACTAAGATTTGAATGTAGAGAATTTTTGTTTTATAAAAGCATAAACTAGTTTTCAACAGTCTTTTCTTGGTAATTTTGCTTTATATATTTTTAATTCTTTTTTCTTTCACCATTCCAAACACCTGCAAAAGTCTCTCCTTGAAAACTAGAAGCCCTTTTAATAAATTCAACAACAAAAAGATTTTCTACAGGAGCATTGTACAAAATGGTGGGAAGTGTATGGTTAATGCATCCTCTACTATATGGAATCTCAGTAGGTCAGTTATATAAGGACTGATACTGCAAGCAGTTTAAAGAGTATCTCCTTTAGCTGAAGCACTTGAGGTTTCTGTATTTGGAGCAGTTATCCCTGCCTTTGCTGTTCAACTATATGACTACTATGTGCGGCACTTTGGACAGCTGCAAAGTTTCTCAGTAACTATGGTTCTCTTACAATAATGTTTAAACAGAACTTCCAATCTGTTTTCACTTTAAGAGGCGTTGGTCAATACCCTTCACTTATTCATGCCAAGGGAGAGAGATTGTGGGCCTCAGTGTCAGGGACAGACTTCCACATCAAGCTTATTGAGATAAAGAGATCTTATAAAAAGGGCCTATGCCCTACAAGAGCAGTGGATTTTAAACCCACAGGAATAATACTAAATACTTAACTCTTCTATAAGCCTGCCCAAAGCCTCTTAAAATGCAGAAAAATCTTAAAAAAGAAAAAAAAGAAAAAGAATTTGTGAAAAAATGACTCTGCCCTCTTTCAGTTTATCCTGGTTCCCTTTATTTGCACAGGGAATTCTGTATCTTTGCAAACACAGGCCTATATTACTTGTTTCCAGGGACACCCTCTGTGAGAGGGGACCAAAAGGGTCCAACCATATTTTTGAGCTGCTGTGGTCCCTTGTTCCCCAAGATTTTGTTGACTCAAGCTTTCAAGACATGGCTACTCCATGTATGCACATCTGGGTTTGCATGGGGACATGGACATTTGGTATTATTTCTCCTTTTTAAAGAATTTAAGTGGTCTATTTAGAAAATAGAGATACAACTTGTTGACTTAGGTGACCAGTCACACACCATGATTAATTAATATTTAAAAGTGTAGTTAACATGAACAACTGGTGAAAGACCCATAATGACTTGTCTCTCATGGCTTTCTGTGTGGCCTTGGCTACATTTATAAAGTATACACAGTGGCCATGTCTACACAAGATGCTGATTATGCAGTAGTTTGTTACTATTGCGCTGTAGCTTATTACTGCACAGTAGTGTCACATGGCACGAAGCATGATGCAATGCTACAGCATAGTAGTAATGAGCTACTGTGCAGTAGAAACAAGCTACTGTGCAGTCATCATCACCAAAAAGCTGTTTGGAGACACTACTGTGCAGTAACTCCAGTTACTGCATAGTCATTTAGTACTTGTTGTGTATGCAAGTACTAAATGACTGCAGTAACAACTGCGCAGCCAGTGTCTCGTGTAGACGCAACCACTAAGATATATTTCTCTTTCCTCCAGTCAAAGTAATGGACTTTGCTTATTTTGTCCTGTTTTCTGTGTGTTGGAGAAGGAGGAGATGAAACCTATGACTTGAAATATCTTCAAGCAATCTTTTTATTGAATGGTTAGAAATGATGAATGCACATTGAAGCTTATTCATGGATAATATATGAACGGAAAAAAGGGCCAAATTCACCAAGTAAATTATTCACAACGAGTAATTCATTCTGCTCTCTTTGTAGAGTTGTCTGAGTGCAGTGAATTTAAGACAATCATAAAACAAATCATAGAAAAACAGGGTTGAAAAGGACCTTAGGAGGCTATCTCATCAAGCCCCCAGCTCAAGGCAGGACCACCCCTGTTTAAACAATCTTTGACAATTGTCTAACCTGCTCTTAAAAACTTCCAAGGGTCTCCCTATGTACTTGGTAAATTCTGGACCCAATGAATTTAAAACTGCAGACTTCATTGGGACTGGAATTTTCCCAAAGGGTAAAGCACAATCAAATGATTTTTCCTTAACAGTTTTGTTGTTCAGTTGAAAGGTAGGTCTACATTGCAGTGACTGCAGCGCATGTAGTTTGGGCAGTGGCAGCAGTCTCATGCCAACTCAGCACAGGATAATTTACCGTGCTGCTTGGGCAGATTTTACAGCCTATGCTTATCTCTGTGCTGCTGTGGCTAGACCCTACTGAACCTATTCTTCACCTGTGCTATAACAAATTCTACCTATTGAAGATCTAAATGTAGTGACTGTGACTGCAGTGTAAACACATGCTGAGTCATAAAGGTATGATCCTTTACTCCAGGACCTGTCTTAGGAGCTAGGTTTGAACTACCATTCTGATTTCATGGTGATGGCTTCAGCATGTTGCATGCCACCTGATTTGTATTACACTCACTACCACCTTTAGTTCAGACCAAATTATTAAGACCCAGTCTAACATTTCCACATCCCTGACCTATTGTACTATGTATTTTACACCAGTAGTTGTTAACATCCCATCTTGGATGTGCAGTTCATATCCTTGTTATGTTTATGACACCTTTTGGTTGTTTTCATGACATCTTACTCCAGAGTGCTGAGCAAAAGTGACAAAAAGGAGACAATGGAAAACATAAGTAACAATCACCAATACAAAGAAACAAATCAGCAATGAATGGGTCATTTTCTCAATGGCTCTAAGCAGTTAATACCATGCACCCTAGTATCTGAGCATATTCACTATGGCATCTGAGTGTCTGGAAGAACAGAGTATTTAGGCAGAAGAGAGGAGACGAGGAGGAAAAGCAGCATTCGGAAGTGGAAAAGGACCAAGGTTTCTGAGAAAGGCTTTCACATGACAAAGAAAGTCAGAAAAACGAGGGCGTTTCCACTACATGAGTTATGCAGTTGTAGAAAGGGTTGCTGTGTTTGGTGCGTGCGGCACTCTGGGCTGCAACTTACATGATTATTAAAAATTAGCATCAGTCTTAGAGCAATGCAGCACAGTGCTTTGAGTGCTGCACTTGAATTTCAGCATCCCAAAGATGCCACGTGATGTGTGACTAGCACAAAGTGTTCCACCCAAAATACACAAAGCACCCTGCACGCTGATAGTGAGCAACAGCAGGACTAAATGGGTTAAGTTATATAAGCCCTTTTAGGGAGGGGTGGAGGAACGAACTCTATTGGTGTTGCTGTTGCAGCTCAGGTTGATTTAGAATGGATGACAGTGGCCTGGCGCAGGCCCACGACTGAGGAAAGCTGCTTATCCTTCTCTGGGTTGCCATGGAGATGAGCAGGAGGCAGCAGCAGCAGCAGCGAGGCTGTCAGTGAGGGAAATCAGTATCAGGCATCTGTGGGGTCTGCAGGAGGGAAAGGAGGCAGGATCAGGGACACGGTCGGCAGCAGACATGGACTTGCATTGCGATTGTGCGGAGACTCCAGCAGTCGAGCAGCCGTCCGGGAAGATTAACAAAACGGCTTTCAAATTATTTAAAAGGAGAAAATCTGGGGGCACCATCCCCAGCATATTTGGGGTGAAAAACAAAGGTGGGGATGGGAAAGACTCGAGTAAAACAGGGATGGTGCGGAGCAAGACTCATGATGGATTAGCTGATGCTGTGCTAGAAAGCAGCAAGAAAGAGGAATCGAGCAGTGGTGGTGGTGGCAGTGATCAGCAGAACAAGGATATAAACACTAGGGCTGTAGCCAGCCTGAATGTTTCAGCAAACAGCTCGGTGGCGAAGTCGCACAGTTTCTTCTCTCTGTTGAAAAAGAATGGGAAATCGGAAAATGGCAAGGGAGAGAACGCAGATCAGAGGGCTGGCAGCAGACAAAAGAAAGGGCTGAAAGGGATCTTCAGCAGTATGCGATGGCATAAAAAGGACAAAAATGGCAAGGAAGAAAGGGGGGAAACATCAGAAATTCAATCCAGCCTCATTATGCCTGGTTCTTTGACGGCCAGCTTGGAATGCATCAAAGAGGAGACACCAAAACCTTTGTCTGAAACTCAAAACACCACAGAAGAAATTAACATTGAATTGTCTTGTGAGAAATGTGGCAGCGATGTGCACACTACAGCAGATGAGCCTGGAGTCAGAGATGGGGAGTTGCAGAACAACAGAAACATACCAGGAGAGGATCCTGCTAGTGCTGGAAACCGAGGCGAGGAGAACAACCCTGAGCTACCAGATCCGGGTGCAGGAGAGGTTGGGACTGCGAAGGATGCAGCCATAACAGGTGACATTCCAATAAAGACTATTCCCCTTGTTGAACCCGAATGTGATAGCGGTCAAGAGACGGCAGCAGCCCCTGACCCTTCCTCTATTGATCCACCCTCAGAGCAATCGATTGATCGTATTTGTTTGATGTTTGCTGACGTGACTTCATTGAAAAGCTTTGACTCTCTTACAGGCTGTGGAGATATTATTGCGGACCAGGAGGATGAAGTGGGCAGCAGCAGTGGAGGCTGTGACAAGAACGCCCCGGGGCCCAGCAAGCCAGGCACCTCCAAAAAGAACCCAAACGTTGTGGCCTACCAAGGAGGAGGAGAGGAGATGGCAAGTCCAGACCAAGTGGATGACACCTACCTTCAGGAGTTCTGGGATATGCTGTCACAAACAGAAGAGCAAGTCCAAGACATCCCTGGTGGGGGAGGGATAAAAAAGCCTGACATCTCAAGGGAGAGCAAGTGTGTTGTGGGGGCCCAGAATGGTTCAATGGTTAAACGCATTGGTCTCAACCAGATTCCAATTCATCTCAACCACAAAGAGGATCAAAAGAACAGGGAAAAGGAGCAGCAAGAGTGCATCCCAAACAGTGATGAGGGCTATTGGGATTCTACAACTCCTGGTCCTGAGGAAGACAGCACCAGTAGTGTCCAGAAAGAGAGCATACCGAGGGACAGCTACAGTGGTGATGCCCTCTACGATCTCTATGCTGACACAGATGAAAATGTAGCAGGGGTGCCTTCTGATGAAGAGGTTACTTGTGTGTTGCGCTCTAAACCAGTGTCACCCATAACAACTACGTGCCCACTTAAAACACCTGCAGGTTCTGTCAAGGACTCTAAGATACCTATCAGCATTAAACATCTTTCATCGCTTCCTGCCAGCCATGCAACAGATGCAAGTAACAGCCATCATGTTGCACACCATCATCCGGCCAAAAGTGAGATACCCAGAACAAAAATACCTGTTTCTAAAGTACTTGTACGTCGGGTCAGTAACAGGGGCTTAGCAGGGACAATGATCAAAGCCACCACATTCCAGGACAGTGCCAGAAAGTAGCTGAATAGGAACTAGAGGCAAAGATGGATGGTGGGTTAGAAGCAGGGAAGTTTTCACTGAGGTCACCAACAAAATGTTTTGCAACACCTAAAGAAAGGCTGTCACAAGGACCCCTTCGGTGTGCCATGAGAGCCTGCACTTCCACACTTCTCCTGGAGATAGTATATCTATAAATACAACAATTCAAATTCTTTTGAAGCACTTTTTTTTTTTTTTTTTACATTTCTATCCTTTTTTGGGAAGTAGCTTTTACAAGCCTTTGCAAAAGCAGGACTTGGATTATGAACCTAAAAGGGCATTTCTCCGGTTGCAAATTAGTGCCATGAGTTATTCAAGGGGACAGATTACAGAAAGAGAGGAACAAGAAGAGTTCTCCAATACACTTAGCTTTTACTGATTTCTTTTGGCCTAAACTGGAAAAAAGAAAAAAAATGTTTCTTCTACAATATATGGAAAAATGCCAAGCAAAACACAGACAGACAACCCAACAGGTATTTTCCTGATGTTCAAACAGCAGCACTGATCAGCAGCAGACTTGACTTGCTTGCATCTAGTAAGCTAACTCATGAGTTAGGTGGATTTCTATAACTGGAAGAAATATTTTTGTTTTTTTGTTTCTCTGTTTGTTTTGGCTCTGCTATCATGTAAATGGATAACAGATGCATCTGGCATAGGGTCAGATGTTTACTTCAATATTTGTCCGATGCATAAAATCAGGTTCAGGGAATCATTTTACTAAATGCCAATATATACACAACTTTCACATTTATACAATAAATTACTCTTTATGTGTAGATATATGCATATTTTAACAGTTTTACTCAATCCTACAGATTTTTTATAACAAAACATCTGTCTGTATTATCTAGAGTTTAAGAAAAGTTAGTTTTTATAGCTAGATAATTTTACAATTCTGAAATGATGGAACTTCCTTTAAGTACCTTGAAGTAGAACAAAACTCTGTTTTATATTGCCTCTTGCATCCCCAGATAAACAAGTCTATTGTGCTGGTTTTATTAGAGTGACACATTCATTGTGCCAGAGCCAAGGTTCTGACAACATTGCAAGTGCAAACCTCTATTTTCAGGGGTTTGGACAAATTTGCTCTGGGCTGAAACCCTGCAGAGAATGAATCCTGGAAAGAAACATTTTTTAAAAATACATTATATTTAAAAATGTGTGAAGTTAATTTTGGCTATTTAAAGAAAAAATTGGATTTAGTATTCATTCTTAATAACTTCAATGCTTAAGAGAGAAGAGGAGTGTGGTAAGCTATTGCTCTGCGAAATAGTCTAATCAACTTTGGTCCTGTGAAAAATATATTAATGGCCAAGCTGCTTCTGTAAAAGTGGCTACTATATATGGGCATTGACAACTTTTCAAAGAAATTGCAGAAGGATGCTATGATGTGCCTACAGATATATTTTCATGGTAAACTGAAACAACTCCAAAGGACAGCAAAGTCTAATGGGTAAATACTGTGGATTTACAAAATACTCTAAAATATGTATTTAACCAACGGACCACAATTAATACCAAGTTGCTGTTTCAGTGTATCGGAAAAATAATATATGTTTTTAAAAAGTTTTAACTATTTGTATTATGCAGAGAAGCCTAAATTTAAATAAGGGAATCTAATGGGTCTGACCTTATATGACAGTTTGCTTTATCCTCTTTAGATTTGAAAAAATAAAATAAAAATACAAAATATACCTTTAAAGAATATTAAGGTTGTAAGATGAACTGTAAAAACCAAGAAAATACAATATTTAAGGGCCCAGGTCTTCCTCCCTTTATACTGGTGCATCCTTAATATCACTGCAGAGGGTGTTGAGTATGTGGATAGGAGGGTAGGATTGGGAGCTAGCTCTGAAAATAACTCATTGCTTAATAATGACTTACATCATCCTAGTGGTGAAGTCGAGGAAGAAGTGCCAGCTTTTCTATTCCATTCCTGGCTTTATCAGTTTATGTCAGAACCTTAATATACTCAAAGAAGTTTATTTTATATGTAATTGTTTTGTAATGTGCATGGTTGTATACATGCCTACTCATGCATACCTATTGTACATATATGCATGTATAGTCATACATACCTATGCTTATACCATACATGCATAAAAATGAACATGCATATTCATGTATAAACACACTGTGCAGACACTGAGGAAACATAGAGCAAATCTATCTCAAAACATGTTGGCAAGAACAAGGAAGGGATTTGCATTTGACCTGATTCTGCTTGTATTTTTGTAGCGACTAAAGCTGCAGTATTCTCTAAAGGATGAATGTATAGAATATGGAATTTGAATCCTAGCCTCCTAGCCATAAAGCTTGCAGTCGTGTTTTTTTCTCATCTGACTTTAAGGATTATGTTCTTTGCATAATGATTAAACAGCAAATTCAAACTTGCCCGTTTTGTTTAAGGACAAATTGTACAGAAAGAATTGTACAGGGAATTGAAAGTTGAGGTGGAGAGAGGATGTTGTGAGCTTGTGACACTGTAAAGTAGGAAGAGTCAATTACAGGTGGTAGAGTTGTGCATCATTTTAAAACACTAGTAAAATAACATCATCTATATACAGAACTTGTTTTAAAAAATAATATACATTTAATTTACACTGTGGCATGTATGTATCAAGAAAAAAATAGAAAATAGAATATTTTTAGATTAGTTCCCTCACACTGATGTCTAACAAGAACCACCATTAAAATCTGTTGCCTTTCCCTCATTTTTTCTCTCTTTCATTTTGCCACCCTGCTTTTACTCCTGTTGCTGCATGCTGACTGGCAAAAAGTCAATATAAAAAGCAAGCCTCTTGCAAGGAGGGGACAGGTACCTGCCTACTCCATTTTACATGGACTTGGTACTAGTCACTTTCTCCAGCTTTATATTTTATACCTAATGTAAGTAAGATTTACAGATCTCTTGGTGGTTCACTTAACTGCTTGCAATGTATATATTTAAAAGACAATCATATCCTTAGAGGAAGAATGGTGAAATAACATGTGGTAGGGTGTCAGTGTTTTTTTATCAGAACAACATGCTTGACATTAGATTCATGATTCAGGATAATGATTGTGTGGGAGCAAAGAAATTAAAACACTGTTTAACACTTAAATTAACTTTTATTCACAAAAATCAGTCTTTAAGCCAATTATGTTTTATTTTAAAATAATATGTAATTTAATACTTACCAGGCCTTTTTATTATAGTAGAAATATATTTGTATGTTATAACTTCACATATTGCCTAAAACAAAGCACTAAAAAGGAATTCAAAAAGCTTTTTTTAAACGTACTTAATTCCCTTAAGTAACCTGTAAAGGTCTCTGATATGCTTAATGATTGAACAATTGATGACATGTTGGATTTAGAAGGTTGAAGCATAAAGAGTTAATAGTCCTGGAGGCATTCTTCGGCAATTTGCATTCTTATTTTTTATATTATTTTGTTTAAGCATACATTTTCTATGACCTTGGTGGGTATCAAGGTAGAAATGATCTTCCAGGTCCCAAAGACACCATTCTTCAATGATGTCCTTGTCTTTCTTTCTTAAAGAACACATGATTTGTTTATAATTGTGCTTGGGTTGACACTGTATAGCTATCAGCCTGTCACACATAAAGAGTTTTATAGATCAGGTCTTGGCATTTAGTATTTATAATCTTTGCACTTTCAGGTCACTACTGGTAATTTTTATATGTTCCTAGGATATTTCTATATATTATGTAACATTTTATAGTTGCCTATATGGTATCTTCAGTGGTATATAATTTTTATGTTTCAGTCCTAAATATCAGCACAAAAGATTTCCTTTTAGGAGCATGAAATGCTGTCCTTGTGGACTTATTTTGTCACAATAGAAGTAAAGTTCGCTGTACTATAGGTGTGGTTTGCAACCCAGGCAAAATGGTTTATTTTTCTCCAGTAGTACAAATGCATTACTAATATTCACAGTAAAGGAATCAAACATGTGCAACAGATTTCAGAGGAAACTGCACACCTACATACAAGGAAAATCCATGTTCATTGGTATTTCATCACTCACCATCATCTTCCTCATCCACTGTGAACATACTTGCCACAATTTAGGATAGTAGAGGACTGCAGACTGCATTTGAAAAATTGTGTGTGTAAATTTATCTGATGAAAATTCATTCACAGATTATTTTTTAATGAATCATACTAAATTATTTATCAAAGCTAAGATAATATTGTACCAAAGTCTTCAAAATGTCTGATACAGATGGTATTTTTTAGGAAAATGCTAAAAGTGTGGATGAGCCAAATTAACAAGCTTTGCTTAGCAAAGCAAAACCTTGTTGGTTTTAAAATTTATGGTACTGAGTGAGCTTGCTGATCAAAGGAGACAACTGATTTTGCTACATAGCCTCACTCTGAAGCTTTTTTGCCTGCTGTAATAGACTGTTTTGAAACGGCTTTTCATTGTGATAATGGTATGGAGGAAATAGTTCACAACAACAATAGCCACTTAAAAGGCAGATGGTTACCTAAGAGCAGATAATGTAGGGCTTTAAGCAAGGTGGCTTGGGAACACATTTTCCTAGCTATTGATATAAAATGTTCTTGGAAAAATACGGTGTATCTTTGCAGACATTACATGTGAGAATTCCTGCGATTTTTCTTTTATTTATTCAGAGCCCATTTGCTCAGGCAGAATTGTACACTTGGCTTTTCCAAAATTCATTTTTAGACTATCTTAGACAGCTTCTGATACCCTTATTCACACTGAACTAAATTTCCATTGGGGCATCTTATTATCTAATATGCTGTTTACTATGATTAAGGTTTTCAGAATCCATCTTGTTTGTCCTGAGGGGACTTGATTATGATTTGTTTTACATATGATTCCATGTCCTTTTAGGCTACCTTTAATCTTTTTTTGGTCTCCTCCCCCTCAGTTTTTCATCTGAAATATTTAGCATTGTTTTGGTGTCTGCTATTTGATTAAAAAATGGAAGTGTTTTTATATTATG